TCTCTTGATGATCTGATCTCTCATATCAAAAGCATGTTTTGGGTTTTTTTTGGGTAAGATATTGAATTAATCATGAGAAAGAAAAAATACCATCTGCGCTATTTATGGACTTCGGAGGTTTGCATCAATATCCTGAAATTCACAGGAACCATGGTTGCTTTCTCTACATTCAACAGCCTTTTGTACACTAGCTACACCCCTGTGACCAAGACATCAGTATTTTGCTAGTTAGGCAAAAGCCAGGCTAGTGATTATAATATCAACAGGTCCACCATATAGTTTTGTGATCAGATAGGTTCTGATTGGCTGGAAAATACATAAACTACGTATGCAGATCCAAATCTGTAAACTATCATCATTAAAGGCACTAATCTTTGCAGGCAAATCTCCCGCTGGCCTCAAAGGGAATTCTGGCTGTGTAGGGGCCTGGTCCTAAAAGATGCTGAGTGCCCTCAGTTGAGAGGGCTCAGAACTACACAGGATTGGCCTCTATGACTGCAAGATCAGTCACCTTTTTTCAGGTCCATGACATACCTCAAGCCCATCTTGCCCACACTTCGTATTTGAAACAATCAAATACAGACGCCCCCTGGGTTACGCAAACCCAACTTCCGCAAATCCACACTTACGGAAAAAGTTCTGTAAGCTAGAAATAGGAGGATTTTTTCCCTTTTCTTTTTGCGTAACGTTTCCCACTTACGCAAAATTCGAGTTACACAAGGCGTTCCGGAACCGAATGCTTGCATAAGTCGGGGACCATCTGTATGTCAAAAATCACCCTTCAGAGACAAAGCTGCAAACTATTACACTAAACTGAGTTTGCAACTTCTCTTTTTTCAAAGCATCATACAATTTTTTAAACCACATGAACATACAGAGACATGCACATAAACAAAGAGCGTGAACAGATGTCAATAAGCTGTTCTTAAATTCTTCTCTTATTAGTTCTCTGTACCAGTGAGCCATGTTACAGTATTGTAGCTTTAACAAATATTGTATGCAGTGTAGTTGTAGCCGTGTTATTCCCAGGATATTGGAGAGACAAGGCAGCTGGGGTAATATCGTTTACTGGATCAACTTCTGTTGGGGAGAGACACAAGCTTTTGAGCCACACAGAGCTCTTCTTGGTCCAATAAAAGATATTACCTCACCCTCCTTGTCTCTTTAAAAAATATTACCAGTTTAGTGTGGGACAGGCCAAATAAATAAATCATGTTAATCTGCAGTAAATAGGCACTATTCAAAAATAAAATAATAAAAAATCCTAGTTAGCTTTTGATTACCAGCAGAATTTCACAATCTGTTCCTTTAATGACCCAGAGAATGCAGATATTAAAAATTAAGATGATGACTTTACTGCAGGGAAAAAACTGACTAATTTACAGAATAAAGGAGATTATCTTAATCCTGCTGTGTGGTCTACATTTTAATCTTCTGCAAGCACCAATATCCACCAAAGAGCACAGTTCTGCTATGCAGGTACTGGCACAATGAGCACTAAGAATATTACCTCAAATATTGTTGGGAACGTGGTATAACTAATAGTATCCAGCCTTTTTTAATGGTAGAAAACAAACAGAGCAAATAAACGGAAATACCAGGTGAGAAGAGGGAGGAACCAAAACCACCAGGAGCTACAAAAAAGTGGAACATGTAATGGACCAAATTATGGGCTTGATTTTGCACCAGTCAAGTCAATGGGAGTTTTTCCAGTGACTTGCATGGGAGGAGGATCTATCCCTATATCCTTATCCCTATATCCTTCTTGACAATCCTGAAACCCCAGTGAAATCAATGAGGTTGCAGCACACATGTGACAGGAAGATTTTGGCCTGGTCACTACACATGGCCAGGGAGTTAACATGATACACTAAAAATGTAGGGCCAGATTCTCAGCTGGAATAAATAGGCATAGCTGTATTAAGGTTAATTGAGCTATGTTGATTTATCCCAGTTGAGGCTGTGGCCTGCAAAATGTTAATTGACGTCTCTATCCAGATTTCAAATTCTGATCTGACTCTGGCCTCACTCACACTGCTGCAACTCCACAGACTGCAAGAGTGTCACTCCTAAAATATACTGATGCGAATGAGAGCAGAATCAGCCCACACATATTTTTAAAAGGATATTTCTATTTTATAATACAAATGTTGATTATTCATTCTCCATCTTTCTTAAAACTGTACCTGCTGGACCCCCCCAAAAAACAAAAAAACGCCTTGACAAACCTGACAGTTTTATAGAAATCTATCACTGGGATTAACAAAGAAGATAAATAAAACTAGTTGGCCACAATGTTTAGCTCCATGAAATTAAGGGGTGAATACTTCAAGAATATTCTAGGTTTTATACACAACTGGTTTGCTTTATTACTCATACTTCACAACACAGTGAGCAAAAGTGGCCAAAGTCTGCCTTTGGCTGCGTGGGCATAACCGAGAGTAAAACCTGGACCAAGATGTCTATATAAAAACAAAACAAAAGAAAACATATGGATGTGATGCTGAACCCATTAAATCCATGGGAGCTTATCACCAACTTTCACAGGAGCAGGGCTGGGCACATTTAGGAAAACTGACTGAAACAATGCAAACTGTTCCCAAACTGATGCTGTGCTGCTAAAGTGTAGAAAATGAGCATGTGGGAAATTCAATTACAGATACTGCAACAAACCATTTCTAGGTGATGGATTTCTGTGAATTGACACTGAAGGGCCCAATCCTGAAACCCTTCACCACTGGGAACCATGCTAGCATCACACAGCATTCACCACTGTGTCCAGTATTAAGGGTGTGCAGGATCGGGCCCCAATTTAATTGCACTGCTATTACTAGTTCAGTCAGTGGGGTCAGCACCTTGTCCTTTAGCTTAGGGCTGAACTTGGGAAATATGCATTTCTTTCAGAAACAATTTTGCAATAGTGAGAGCAGCCAGTTTAAAACACAGTTTTAAGTAATTAAGGTTGCTACCTTTGAAAGTCTAGTGCATTCTAATCCCATATATCGAAATAAAGGATCCAATCCTGTGCACCTTACTCATGTGAGGAGATACATTTGAGTGAGACACAGAGGAATGTAGTCAGCAGGATTTGGTCCCAGAATTGAATTGCTAACACATCAGAGCAAAAAGTGAATTGCTCTTCCACAATGCCTTGATAGCTGCACGCAGTTATGTAAAAACATATGTAGAAATGTAAATATTATAGGATTTATTACTATTAATAAAATCCTTTATCATTTACCTGCCTAACAGGTTAGGAAAGGTATAGCTTATGAAAAATGTGTGTGTGGGGGGGGGGGGAGGGGAGGTGGGAGGGAATTCTGTACTTTTGCCTTCTATTCTTATTTTTTTTATTGCTAATTTAACCAAAATATGGTTTTATGATCCTAAGAATGATTGGATCAAACAAATAAATACTCAGGTCAGTGACAGATTTTTAGAGCTAATGACACAAAGTTCTAAAAACCACACAACTGCGAATCTTAAGAAACTGATCAAAGGAAAGGCAACTAAGGCATTGAAAAGAACAACCCAGCTGATCTCTGAAAATTTACTGCTTATGGAATAAAATTCAACATAGATGTGCAATGCGCTAGTGGACCTGCTGCAAAAAGGACTGTGTCCTTTTTTTCAATGCTTACTGGATGGGTGGTTTATATCTGGCATTCTGTTCTTTAAATTCTTTGAAGAGTGAGCACGCATAGAGCATTAAGGAGTCACTAGTGTGCTTTATGCATGAATGAGGCATTCTCAGTGGATATGGGCCATGCTAGTAGATGTACACAGGAAGATTATTTGACTCTAATTCATGCCACTTGATATAATGTGATAAAACATTTGACATGAGAGATAAGTTCCATTTTAATCTGATAGGATATCAGTGAAAGAAAGAGTGGGAATTATAAAGTAAGAAGAGGTTTCTAAGGGAAAGATGATGTGAAGAAAGAAGAATATCAAGTAAAGAAGGCATTTGATTGGGGAAAAAAAAGCCTTCCCTACACACTGTGGAAGCAAATGAGTAAGTAAACAAAGCATATAAAGTTATTAACATTCTAGAGCCAGAAGACTGAAAAATGATGTTGCTGAGAGGTGAAAGAAAAGAAAGTTTGAATGTAAGCTGTTTCACACAGTCACAGAAATCAATATATAAACAAAGATCCTAGAAGTGACTGAAACACTAATGTTAAGTGCTTGCCATAAACATAAAACCTTCAGTGAACAATAGCTACAAGGACAGAAAGTGTGTCACACAACAAAAGCAACAGAGAGAGAGACAGGTACATCAGTTAACATGCATTCATATTTAAAATAAATGTAGGCTGCTGGGCATCAAGGTCAATGTTCTCTTTTACATGTTATCAATTAATTTGGTGCAGGGGGCGGGGTCCAAAGGGGACAAAACTCCTGAAAATCTGTGTCCTTTTGACTAGAGCAACCATCCCATTTTCCCCAGGGAGACCATATTATAGCTTTTACATCTGGTGCTAGACACCACAACGTAGTCCTTCTGAGTATGAAAATACGGATTTTATCAGCTATCTTTTGGTCATTTTAAAAAAATATAAATATGTAGCAGAGTTCATTTTCAAGTTTTGAGTGCTGGGCAGTCAGAAACAATTAATTAACATACCAAAGAGATGGTCCCCGACTAACACATCTGCCATAAAATTGGCTCGGATTTTAATGATAAGAACAATGACCAAGATGTTCCTCTTATAGGAAGATTTCTCACAAACTTAACATAGTAAGTATTGGCTTAAAAGATGCTGTTATCTTACAAACCACACACATAAAGACCAGGACACAGTAGATCAGAGTACAGAATTAGAGCAGGCGGACAGCAGATAAGAGCCTTAGTCAGAAGGAAAGGAAAGATTTTTTGTTTTGTAATCTATAACCAATGAATTTTCTCAAAATGTGACTTATCCTCCTGTCTTATTTTGTCACATTTTGGGGGAGTCTCCTGCTTGGTTTCCAAGGAGGAGAAGGCATTTACTTACATCAAATAACCTTTCTATATACATCTCCTCATTGACCTTATCACGCAAGACATCCTGAGAGTGGCGAACAAATGTCACATAGGCATCAGCAACATCCATCCCCGGCTTCTGTATGGAAGAAAAGAAGAGAGAGAAAGAAAAACATAAACATCTTCATATAAGGCAGCTCCTTTATGTAGTCCTGTTGCTGTTGTTCCTCTCCTCAAGCTCCCTTTTGTCCTTAAACTGTTGCTTTGCACCACACGCCCCGTTGATACCTACAGTACACTTGGGTGCCAGAAACTGATACCACGGCTGGCTGCTTTGTATGCCGCAAAGCCAACGAGCCACTCTGTCTATGCAGCTTGTGCAGCACAAGATCATGTAAACACACTATCTCGCTTGCTTTTTTTGCCTAGAGGGAAGCTACTCGGATGAATAAAGCCTTTCCTTGACACACTGATGCCAGGAAGTTCTCGTGCTATGTTTGGTATTGTTGACCTAATTAATGAAACAACAAATCACGCTGTGGTTTTTCAGTGTCACCTTCTATATGCAAACCCTCTGTTATATGAAGTTAGAAAGCTAACACCCAGCGCTAGTCTCTTGTTTCTTCTCCTAAGGTGTGAGAATGTGTGTAGTAAGCAATGAACATTTTATTATTCACACCAAAATCACATTTCTTTGTTGTTTAAAACTTAGACTTTTGCTTGAACATGGACTTATATTTTAAAATAAACTAGTTAAATCATAAATCAGCTAATTTCCCAACATGTCTAAATCTGTGCTACATTTCTAGGATACCTAGAGCTGTAGTTATGTCTGTACATATGGCCAAATATGTTCATTGGTTTTAAACCTTAACTTATAAGTACATTAGATTTGTGAAAGCCAGTGATACTTTTGATATTTTCTTTAAAGGAGACGGTAACTGAAGTAGATGGAGAGGGAGAAATATACTAAAAAACCCATTGAGTTCACACTGCTTGATATGTTGAAATCAAACTGATCTCAAAGGAAACCCATTAAAATACTGTAACATGAGTCATTACAAGACCTGCCACAGAACCTTAAATTTCCATGGCACATTGTAAGTTTGTTAATAACGAGTGTCATTAGTTTTCATTACTGTGATTTACCTCAGATCACAAAGTATCGGTTCTCTCTAAGATGTGATTGTCAGCCACTGTAAATTGAAGTTAGTTAACACTTCTGTGTAATTTCCAGGGTGAAAATGAGGACCGTTTGGAAAGCAGTGGGAAAGGAGTTTTTTAATACAAAGCAAACAATTATCAAGCAAAGGGCCAATGCTTGGCCCTTGGGATGCCAGTAACATTTCTTAACACCTACTGAAACAATGACAAGGTATTAATTTGAAAACCAATGAGGACAACACAAATGCGGCAGTAGTCAAGTGTTATACTTTGAAGCAATGTGCAGCACACTGATTGTGCCAGTTTCATGGTGGCACTATAAGTGTTGCAATTTTTTGATACAAAACAAGTTTCTGAAATTAGACGTAAGTGATGGCTTATCTGCTCAATAACAGGATATTTCTCTTTTCCCTAGAGCAGGAACCCATAATCAAATGTGGTTTTCTCTGCACTTCACCGAGAGATACTGTGGCTCACTCCTACTGCGGATGCTGCTTTCGCTTACACTGGTGAAAAGGAAGGCTAGCTCCATCTAAGTCAGGGGTAGGCAACCGATGGCACGCGAGCTGATTTTCAGTGGCACTCACACTGCCCGGGTCCCGGCCACCGGTCCGGGGGGCTCTGCATTTTAATTTCATTATAAATGAAGCTTCTTAAACATTTTAAAAACCTTATTTACTTTACATACAACAATAGTTTAGTTATATATTATAGACTTATAGAAAGAGACCTTCTAAAAAGGTTAAAATGTATGACTGGCACGCGAAACCTTAAATCAGAGTGAATAAATGAAGACTCGGCACACCACTTCCAAAAGGTTGCCGACCCCTGATCTAAGTTAATGGTGTTTCACCAATATTAAACCTGTGTGTGAGTAGAATCTGGCCCATATTAACTAAATGATGGAGTCCAGGCTTCAGGAAACATTGCGATACAAGTGGAAGCCTATATTCACAGAGAACTCTTCTCAAAAAGTTAGATATTGTTCTTTGACATTTCCACGCAGATATATTGTGTCATCTCGTTTCACACAAAAAAAGTTAGTATACATCAGCCAAACATCTATGGATAAAGGGTTATTTTAAATCTATTTCCTTATGCCTCCTGAACAGCTCAGTCCTCTCCAAGTGATGCTGGCTTTGCTATACAATCACATAAAATGCACATTAATGACAGTGTTGTAAGAGGTGTTGTAGCTCTGATATTTCTTTTCCATTCTCTACCTTGACAACACAACTGGACTGTTTGAACTCTTTAAGGAGCATTTTGCCTCTTAATTTTCTGATCTGGAAAGAGAAAGGCTCTTCACAGCTACCTTAATTACACGTTGAACTATGGACTCCGGCACTGTCTTGCTGTGGACAAATCTTAATCGGACAAGCAGGTAAAGAAATTCAAAATTAAAGCCTTGGAGACAGGGTGTCCTGCGGTATCGGTAACAACAACTGTTGTATGTCACAAAGTTGTAATATTTAGTGACTGATCATAAAATTGAAACAAAACAGAGTCCAGGTAACCAAATATGTGGTCACACACGTGCACGAGTATATTGGTGGACGTGTGTGTGTGTTTGTGTGTGTGTGTGTAACAGCTGATGGTGGGGTGTAAAGGTTTTATTAGAATGAGGTTGGAGTGAACTGCTCACATGGGGTAAGCCATGAGCATTGTGCAAGGCATCCCAAAGGAATGCCAAGAAACCCTTGATACTACATGACACCATCGTTTATTTTACAGGAAAATCTATTTTGGAAATGTTTGAGAGTTATATACGATTTTACTGGGACTCTTTCTTGTAACCCTCCACCTCGGAATGCTGTACTCACTGTACTTTTCTGTATCTGAAGTCCTAGCAGCTGAAAGTGTCAAATGTGCCTCAGTGACTTAGAAGCCTAGACATTTGTAAGGTCGGACACCTCAAGCTCTTTACATGCATGTGACTGCTGAGTCCCACTGGGAGGTTAAAAGCTGCCCTTTCCCAGTGTTATGAATGGCCCACTTCTACCCCTCAAGGGCCACGACATACCAAACTTTAAAGCCAGGACATTTTTATGCAGAGAAAAGCTCTGACTTGCCTGGGACTAAATCTTGCCCATACTGGACCCAAGGAAGGTGTACTTGGGGAGGGAAACTCCACATTTGGGGTAAGGAAATGGAAACACTTCTCTGGGGTTATCTACACTTGGAGTTGAGGATGCGTTACTCACACTAGTTCTGGCTGAGCTAGTGCCCTCAAACGAGAAGGCAGCTGCAGCAGTGAGAGAGGCAGGAGGACCTAGCTCCCCCAAGGGCGTGCCCACCAGAGACTTGAGGTGCGTACTTGGGGTGGCGAGCACGGCTACATTCGGTTTTTAGTGCGCCAGCTCGATCCACGCCCATGCAAGTATGTCACCTCCATAGTAAGTGGTGTGTGTCACACACACACTGAAGTAACCCTGTCTAGCTAACCTGGTGCATTTTCAAGGCCGCATGTACATTTCATTGATTTCCATGGAGTTAACTCAATTTACACTGGTGTGGCTGAGGGCAGAATTTGGATTGATGTATTTAAGTCTACAGTGGAGTCGCATCATAGGTGCATTTAACTTACGCGATTTTAACTATACGTGCTCGGCAAAACAACAGAAAAAAAGAGAGAAAAATAACAATTTAAATACTGTACCTGTAGTGCGGGCGATTTCGCCCGCCATTCCACTCAATGAGCGTTTGACTATATGCGATTTTTGCCTTACGTGCTGACTTCAGAACCTAACCCGCGTGTAAGATGCGACTCCCCTGTACTTGTTTTTATTTGTAAATACTCAGCACAAACTCTGTCTGTAAATGTAACCTCGTTTATCAGCAGTAATCCCTAACTCCAACTAGCATTCATATACTGCACTTAAACTCAATTTAAATGTAAATTTCTGGCAACTTAAGCGCTTTATCTAAGAACTTGAAGGGCTCTCTTCCTTATGTGTTAAGCTCTAATTAGAGGAGCCAATGTACAATTTTTCTTTAACAACTGCAAACGTGAGCAAATTTGGTTATTTTTTATTTTCATCAACACTGTTTCCCATATACACACACTGCTAACTTACCACCATTTCCCTAAAGTTAAGACGAAAAGCATTTTCTGAAAGAGTAAAATATGCCAGCAATTAGAAGAATAAAAATAAAACAGGCTAGCAAGTGTGTTAGATATATTTTGGCTCAGCTCTAACACGTTCTAGACTTTTCTCTCTGCAATTACACTCTATTTTATATAGGCAAGTTTCAATGAAAAAAATTATAGAACACAAAAAAATTACAGAATGTACTGCTACTAATTTTTTGCAGTGACCCAAATCCCTTGTGTAAATACGGTACCTATTTGATACTATGTGAAGTCCATTAGTTACGTATCCCTGCCTAGTTGCAGGTCTCCATAGGATAAATGTTTAATATTGACACCAGCTACCGCAGGTCCTCCTTTCAGCTCAAGTGTTAGAATCCTACGCTTATCACACTGAAAGTCCTAGGTTCAATAGCAGCTGACAACCCACACTGAGGGGTTGTTACATGTGCAGGAAAACCAAAACACAATGCAAGTTATTAAGACAGAAGGCAATGTTTAAATTGTGCTTACAGGTACATCGACGTATTTGGAAGCCGCCTTCACCTGTAAAGGAAAAAAACTAGACTTTAGACTAATGTTGACGTTTAATACATACAATAATATCTAAAGATAACATTAGTACAACTTGATGCTGATGGAAAAAATGATGCTAAAGTGATACATTTCCTGTTTCAATCTATACGTAATGGTGGTTTAAAAAAACCCCAAAAACCCAAGAGAGGTGGCTTTACTGTCGCTAAGGCACAAATTGCAGCAGATGATGGTGTGGGAGTTCTCCTTCTCCTTTTTCTCCATGAGCAGGGGGAGGTACAGGGATTCTGGAAAAGGCCAACAGAAATATGTTTGCTTTATTATTTCTCTGGGGGCTTAATGCTGCCAACGAGCAGGGCCTTGTTCTCAACTCTCATGACATGAGTCAGATTTTAATATATGTGGCTAAGGCAGGTATCCTCAGCTGCACAACTCCTAGGTCACTGAGGAGGTCGTACCCAGACAAGCAAGCGGGGTGGGAGTGTGGAGCTGGGGTGCACACAGGAGTCCTGGAGGCTGGCTGGCTAATGACTGGAAATAGGACAGGGGAATGTATTTTTGTGAACAGTTTTTTGGGGGGAATGGATGGCTCAAGGGATTGGCAGTGGAATCAGTGCAAACCTAGTAGCCAAAAGTTATTATCACAGCATGACAACTTGGTGGCTTCATTCCAGTTCAAAGTAAACAACTGTCCACATCCTAAGGAAATCCAAGACCACTGGAGCCCTTGCTGGCAGATCCAGGCCAGTCAGCCAAGGCACCCAAATACTCCCCGTCCAATACAGCACCGAGGCGTGTGGATGAGGAGGCCCATGCAGGCCTGCACTGTGACTGCCCTCGGCACACAGACTGAAGAGTTCAGGGCTGTCAAGCTGGGATTAAGCTCACTCAAAAATTTAAGTTACATTTAAATTAGGGCTGTCGATTAATCGCAGTTAACTGACGCGATTAACTCTAAAAAATTAACTACGATTAAAAAAATTAATTGTGATTAATTTCATTGTTAAACAATAGAATACCAATTGAAATTCATTACATCTTTTTGGATGTTTTTCTACATTTTCAAATATATCGATTTCTATTACAGCACAGAATACAAAGTGTACAGTGCTCACTTTATATTATTATTTTTATTACAAATATTTGCACTGTAAAACTAAAACACAAGAAATAGTAGTTTTCAATTCACCTCATACAAGTACTGTAGTGCAATCTCTTTATCATTTAAGTGCAACTTACAAATGTAGATTTTTTTGTTTGTTACATAACTGCACTCAAAACCAAAACAATGTAAAACTTTAGAGACTATAGTCCACTCAGTCCTACTTCTTGTTCAGCCAATCGCTCAGACAAACAAGTTTCTTTACATTTACAGGAGACGCTGCTGCCTGCTTCTTATTTACAATGTCACCTGAAAGTGAGGACAGGCGTTCGCATGGCATTTTTGTAGCCGGCATTGCAAGGTATTTATATGCCAGATATGCTAAACATTCGTACGCCCCTTCATGCTTCGGCCACCATTGCAGAGGACATGCTTCCATGCTGATGATGCTCGTTAAAAAAAATAATGCATTCATTAAATTTGTGACTGAACTCCTTGGGGGAGAACTGTATGTCTTCAGCTCTGTTTTACCCACATTATGTATATATTTCATGTTATAGCAGTCTCGGATGATGACCCAGCACATGTTTGTTTTAAGAACACTTTCACAGCAGATTTGACAAAACGCAAAGAATATACTAATGTGAGATTTCTAAAAATAGCTACAGCACTCGACCCAAGGTTTAAGAATCTGAAGCGCCTTCCAAAATCTAAGAGGGACGAGGTGTGGAGCAAGCTTTCAGAAGTCTTAAAAGAGCAACACTCAGATGCGGAAACTACAGAACCCGAACCACAAAAAAAGAAAATCAACCTTCTGCTGGTGGCATCTGACTCAGATGATGAAAATGAACATGCGTCAGTCCGCACTGCTTTGGATCCTTATCGAGCAGAACCCATCATCAGCATGGACACATGTCCTATGGAATGGTGGTTGAAGATGAAGGGACATATGAATCTTTAGCGCATCTGGCACGTAAATATCTTGTGACACCGGCTACAACAGTGCCATGCGAATGCCTGTTCTCAGGGCCGGCGCTTCCACTAGGTGAACCTAGGCGGTCGCCTAGGGCGGCAGGATTTGGGGGGCGGCATTTTGCTGTCCTCGGCAGCAATTCGGCGGCGGGGGTTCTTCCGCTACGTGTCTTCGGGGCCCTTCGGCGGCGGATCCTTCACTCGCTCCGGGACCCGCCGCCGAAGGGCCCCGAAGACGTGGAGTGGAAGGACCCCCACCGCCGAATGCTCAGAGGAGGAGCGCTGCCGCCTAGGGCGGCAAAAACCCTCGTGCCGCTCCTGCCTGTTCTCACTTTCAGGTGACATTGTAAACAAGGAGGAGGCAGCATTATCTCCTGAAAATTGTAACCAAGTTTGTTTGTCTGAGCGATTGGCTGAACAAGAAGTAGGACTGAGTGGACTTGTTGACTCTAAAGTTTTACATTGTTTTCTTTTTCAATGCAGTTATTTTTTGTACATAATTCTACATTTGTAAGTTCAACTTTCATGATAAAGAGATTGCACTACAGTACTTGTATTAGGTGAAATAGAAAATAAGGATTTCTTTTGTTTTTTACAGTGCAAATATTTGTAATAAAAATAAATATAAAGTGAGTACTGTACACCTAGTATTCTGTGTTGTAACTGAAATCAATATATTTGAAAATGTAGAAAAAATCCAAAAATATTTAAATAAATGGTATTCCATTATTAACAATGCGAGTAATAACAATTAGCTTTTTTAATCGCTCGACAGACCTAATTTAAATTAAAATTTAATTAAAAAAATAGTGGCAGGAACTGACCAACCCACCACAAATAGCTTCCATGTATGCAGCTTCCATTTCAACAGCTTCTGCCTCAGAGATTTTGCAACCAATTCCAGGAAAGAAGAACTGTTGGAGTATGAAAAACGCTGAGGCAAAAGCCACATATAAGTGCACAATAATGTATCTTTCTATCTGAACTCACGCAACCCTTAGCCCCCCTCTGCAGGTCGGAGGGTGGGGATGTTTACCCTTTACTTGGTTTTTTTAACCAGCTTACATGACAAATGGCTTTTCCATTTGTAGGGCACGAAGCAGGTGGAAGGTCCCAAGCTGCTGAAGGGGGCACCCATGTTTTTCCACTCTGCTTTTGCTGCTGGTGTCTGAATGCGGAGATCTTTTTTCTCCCTCCCAACTGGCCCTGACACTGAAGAGGATTCCAGGTCAAGTCCATGGGTTGCAGAGCTTGTGTAGTCTGGGAACAGCCCTAAAAAAGGCTATGACCAAGGGGCAGTCCTGCCTTTCAGGATGCCAACAGTCCACTGGATAATTTCTTATGTTCTCCTCTTCAAAGCTCACATTTAAAGATCATGTTGATAATCTGGAGGCTGTGGTATGTTTCCAGATATCTGACAATGACAAGACCCAAAACACTTGCTACTTCTCTGCTGCCCTTCATAAAACAGAACGCATAAGCCTGTATGTCAGCCATAGCTGGCAAAGGATACAGGAGTTCCATGACTTTCAAGTTCAACTTTTCAGACTGAGCAATTCCCAGCTGGATAGAGAGAGACCCTCTTACAACGGTACCATAATGCAGCCCATCTGGAAGGCTCACAGCTGAGATCTTCCATGAAGCTTATGCTTTTAATTAGGATAAGATGGGCTCATCATCCTTGTTTGGGTGTAAAAGCTCACCTGCTTTTTAAATATTTCTAAAGCTACCATTAAAACAGCCTAAATATAACATGCACACAGTTGCATCTTGGGATGAATAAATTATGTGTCCTGAATGAGGGGCTGACTGTATGTGTGAGACAGAATGTGTGAGTGGGTGGATGTATTTGTATGGAGTGTATGAGGTGCGTGTGTGTGAATAATTAAGCAAAACGAGGCGATACAAAAGACCAGAGCGGTGGTGACTGCTGAGAGTAACATTTCAAGCATTTCCAGCACTAAGACCCCCAAACTGGGGTGAAAGAACAGGGGCAAGCCCTGGATATTTTCAAAACCCTACCAAGTGGGCCTGGAACTAGATGGGCACAATTATAAGGACACAAAAAGCCAGCCCACTGGATCTCAAAATGGGCACGAGAGTCACCCGCAGTCCTCTTAAAGGTTTAAAATGACACGTGAAACAGCTCTAGCTGTAGCAATGAGTTCGATGCAGGAATTACCGAGTGAGATTCATCCAGGAGGCTCCGAATGGATGTGCATAATGATCCCTTCTGGCTTTAAGGACTAAAACTCATAAAAAGCAATGCCAGAAATGACAAGACACGGAACTTCAGCAAAAATAAACCTTTCCGTCTCTCTGTGGTATCGACATGGCCTGCCGCACTTCACAATCGTCAGTGTATTCATCCTCACAACCCCCTGCGGAGGTAGGACGGTGCTACTGTCCCCACTGGTCAACCGATGAGCTGGTTCCTGCCCTGTGGGCGGCAATGGAAGCTTTGCCATTGACTTGGATAGATGAAGGATCTGACTGGAGCCTGAGCTGCCACGTAGCTATTTTTAGCACAGCAGCGGTAGCCCCACTTTGTCAACCTGGCCTGGATGGCTCAGGGCTGCGGGCTGTGTAGACGTTCCCACAGGGAGTCTCCCGTAGACCAGGGACTTGAACCTGGTTCTCTTAAATCCTGGATTAGCACCTAATCATGGGACAATCCTTCCTCCCCAAGGAAAGATGTAATGAGAAAAATGCAGTCTTCCTTCCACAATCTTCTCTCCACCCACAAAAAGCTAAGCTGCTTTTTAAAAAAAACCAACAAAGTGAATAATGACTTGTTTTTCTCTAAAGTAAGATTTGGCTACATTTAGTGAAGTTTCCAAACAACCAGACGTTGTGTGAGTTTTGCTAGGCTGCAGTTTTTCACAAATTATGTGACTTTTCCATGAAATGTCTCAGTTTACCATAAAAATTTGTGAAG